TTGGTTCTTTGAAAGAATCAACAAAATCGACAAACCACTGGCCAGACTGACAAAAGAAAAACAGGAGAGGAAACAAATAACCCAAATAAGAAATGAAATGGGGGACATTACAACAGACCCAACTGAAATAAAAAGGATTACAACAGAATATTATGAAAACCTATACTCCAACAAATTTGAAAACCTAGAGGAAATGAATAAATTTCTAGAAACACACAGCCTACCCAAACTATGACAAAGTGATGTTGAAAATCTGAACAGACCCATAACAAGAGAAGAGATTGAAAAGGTAATAAAAAAAAGGTAATAAAAAAACTCCCAACCCAAAACAGCCCTGGCCCAGATGGCTTCACTGGAGAATTCTACAGCATACGCTGCTAGTCCTGCTGCCTCTGTTCTGATCAGAATATTCATAGTTTCACCTGTTTCCACATTGCTGCGTGATGAAATCATGGCCCATGACAAGACTCCCTTTCCTGGTGCCCTGTGTGAATTGGTCTGAAACTGAAGCATACAGTCGATTGCATTATGGTTTCCACATATCCATGCCCTGTGAGTGTCCTCCCACACTGATCCTGGATTTAATAACACTAGCAAACTTAACTCAAACACAAGCTTGAAGGTGCATGCGTGTTTCAGCCTCTTCCCTTGGGCCTCTAAGACCACCGAAAGAAAATACTGGGCTAGCCTGCTGAAGGGATATAAGACACATCATCCCAGTTATCCTAAACTAGCCCATTCCTCCCCAACCTGACCAATCAGCCAGCTGCAGAGGAAGCAGTAAGCCCAATCGTGATCAACAAAACCACCCAACCTGCTAGTAGATGCATAGAAATGATAAAGGCTTGTTATTTAAGCCACTACATTTTGGGCTGTTATGTAGAAATAATGGGTCAGGCTGGCCCCGATCACTTAAGATTGTCCTGTCTGTCTCTGGCATAACCTGGAGTGGGTCAGGCTCAACCATTAATAGGGAGTGGAAAAAGGAAGAGTGATGAGAAGTTCTGCTATTTCTTTATAAATTCACGAAAACGAGAATGTTCTGGTAACTAGATTCAAACCCCAAAAGCTATAAATTAAACCTATTTACTTTAAGTTTAACCCATTGCTGTCGAGTCAATTCCGACTCATAGCAACTCTATAGGGCAGAGTAGAACTGCTCCACAGGGTTTCCAAGGAACGGCTGGTGGATTTGAACTGCCAACCTTTTGGTTAGTAGCCATAGCGCTTAGCCACTAAGCCACCAGCGCTCCACTTTAAGTTTACAATCTTCAAAATATAGGAGGTAATACTGTTTAAGCTAATAAATGTCCATATGATGTTTCCACAGTTATCATTTTCCTCATGGTCATCCCAAGGCAATTAACTGTCAAATTATATTAATAACTAATCATTTAAAAAAAAAAAACTAACTTCTCTTAGAAACAGAAAGATTTGATTTTCCTCATGTTGGGGCACCTGAACCAATTACATCATGTTATTTATGCCTAAAGTATCTCTAGAAAGTTGTCAGAAGGCAACTACAACATAATTAACGAGCATCTGCATAATGTTGTCTTCAGTTGGCAGAGTAGTCATCATTCATACAAAAGAAAGGCCAATGGCACAAAAAATAGAAGATAAGTCTACTATTTCTGGGCTCTCAAGACCTGTTGCACGAGACAGGGTTTAATGGCCTAACCTAGCTGATGAATTTTTCTTCCAATTGACAATGGCTGGTATTATCTTGAGCCATTGCTGGCTGTATTTTCTTACATTCTAAACCCATTTCTCTCTCAGTTACTAGCACTCTTCTCTTGGCTCTGTAACAGCTCTGGTTTCTGTACAATGTCTTCCAAGTTCTACTGCACACCGCCTCCCCCAGGGACTTTTTGCAAACATTGCTACTCAAAGTGTGGCCCATGGAGCAGCAGCACTGAAGACCCCATCTAGGCCTACTAAATCAAAATCTGCATTTTAACAGAACTCTCAAGTGATTCTTTTACACATTAAAGTTGGAGAAGCACTGGTTTATAAGACTTCCCTGCAGCTTTTCGCCCTTACACTTCAGTATAATTCAAGGTCTACAGCAGAGGGGTTCGCTATTTTCAATTGTTAACTTGTCTTAACCACAAGGGAAGAAACTACTTCACACATTATTGCCCCTCCTTCTAGTGCAAACTTAGTAGCAGATATAAAGGAGGAATTCAATACATCCCTCTTGAGCACTGACTCACAATTGCCATGATGCTATGAAGCACCACCCTCTTCTTCCTCTTGCATGCTATCAGAACTGACTCCCCTCTCTCACAACCCTGATGGACGCTGGTAAGTATCAACAACAGCCCCAGTAACATTTATCCCACATTTACAGGTTGGTTTCCCTACCAGACAGTATGTATATCTTGAGGATAGGTACCAACTTTTCTATATCTCCAAAGCCAAGTACAATACCGGGTAAAGAGTAGGTGTTCTACAGTGCCCCCCTTTTTTTTAGTTAATGAAAAAGAGTAACCTGATCACTGATTAACTGATTCATGAAATCTGAAAAACAAAAATATCTTCCCTGTTTCTTAAGTGTTTATTTTCACAGGCAAGTAAACTTATTGTTTTCTCCTATAGTCCACTTTTCCTAGTAGGTTGATGATGACAGAAAAATAAATATTTCTAAAAAAAGTTTACATACTTCCTAATTTTCAGTGTGTATGCTTCTTTCTATTATCATCTCATCTTTGTTTCCCTAATGATTCCTATAGTTTCTGGCACATGAAATAGATGTTGAATGAATAACTTATTTCCAAACTATCATGAGGCATGCTATGATAAATGAAAAAAGCTCCAATGCAAAACATTTTAATAGGTTGTCAAATATACAGTTATTAGAATATCTAAATATCACTTAAGTTATAAAAATCGGTATATCATATTAGATGATTCTATAAAATAAAAACACAAATCACATATTGACAATAACCCCTGCAGTCCAAGAATATCAGCCTCAATAGTACAAATTACAAACACATTTAAAAAAAAATTGGAGACATTATTTAGACATTTAAACCAAAATAACTGAGACTAGACTAAGTACATTCATTCATCAAGTACAATAAATTTAGCATTGCTGCTTATAGTCACTAATAACACAATTTTAGGTGCAATTTCACATGCTTTCATAAATCTTCCAGTACAATTCCCATAGTAAAGTGTCTTTGTGCACACCATTTTCATTTATATGCAGGCGCATCATACAATTATCATTTAAGACTATTTTACTTCATAGTTAAACTGTTAATATATAAGTGAACACCAGACCAAAATTTAACCCCAATGACAAAATATAAAAAAATCTTGAAAGTATGTATCAATTTCCTCTTATTAAACCCTATCAAAATAAGTAGTGACAATTTAAACATTAACTCCCAAAAGATGGAGACTCCAACCTTCCTATTAGCAAGCATTTTAAGTAACAATAAAATCACTCCTTAAGTCAAAAAGTAATTTCATATTCATTGCCAAATTTTAAACAACAGTGATTTGAAGATTGAGGCCTAAAATATTGGTACTAAATTGTAAAATACAATAAAAATATGTGCAGTAATTTGCTTGTGAATATGTAATGGAATGTTTGTCACAGTAATGTTAAACACTACTCTAAATGGACAGTCTAAGTAAACGTACCTTTGCGGGCAAGAAAAGTGAAAAATTAAGGCCTTTGTATGCTATCCTGGGGGCGCAGTGGTTAAAGCGCTTGGCTGCTAACTGAAAGGTCAGCAGTTCGAACCCACCAGCCACTCTGCAGGAGAAAGATGTGGCAGTCTGACTCTGAAACGATTTACAGCCTTGGAAACCCTACGGGGTGGTTCTACTCTGTCCTATAAGGTTGCTATGAGTAGTAATCAACTCGACACCAGTGGGTTTGCGTTTTTCGGTTGTGTATGTTATCTACAATTTACTACTCAAAACCAAAAGTCAAACAGAGGTTACAATGCTGCAAAATATTACTCTTAACCTAACAATACACTGTTGGTTGCTTCATCTAAATACTTACTACCTTATCTTCATACAAACTAAACTGTGAGTTATCTGTATTATCTTTAAATGCCTATCTCTCTATATCTCTTTTAATTAAGCCCCCATCCCATTTAGAGAGAATACTGGAAATAAGACAGGGATTTGTCTGATTGGTTCACAACTTTATACCCAGGGCCTAAAAATGTCTGGCACATGGTAGATATCCAATAAATATTTCTGAATAACCTAAGAAATCTAGCCTCCAGAGGCAACCCTACTTGTCTTCCCATAGCATTAATATACAATTGCTACCTCTTTAGATGACCAAACTGACAATTTTTTTAAAAAGAAACTGATGTCTCCTAGGTTATGAAAACAACATTACAGGATGTAAGAGAAAAGATAACCGAGGATACAAATACATTAAATCAGGGTTGAAGGCACCGGATAAGAAAGATTATTACAAAGTATTACAAATTTTTAAAGCAAATTAAGTTTTAAGGTAACAAATGCCAAACTGAGAAGTGAAAATGGTACTAAAATAATGGCACATTAAAATAATGGACACAATTTCTGTAATTGCACAAATAAAATTCTTTCATTGTTTTACCATTTCCTTTCATCCTAAATTTTCTAAAACATTCCAATTACTAGAAACAAATGTTTTTTCAGTTGCACGAAGCAATGAAATTACAACTTAAATATCTCTAGAAATTAATTCCTGTTCTTATGTTATAAACTTGATATATACTTTTTAGAGATGCTATGAAGAACATATTGGAAAATCATAAAATATGAAATTATATCCAATCAAAATTAAGAAAAAAGTTCTTACTCGGTTGAACACAAGAGCAAACTGTAGTGTAAAGAGGCATAGTAAGTACAGTCTTTCCAGACACACAAAGAAGAATGAATACTGAGTTGAAAATACCACAAGCTCCATGACAGAGCCATTTAATACACATTTTCATAACTGTTTTTTAAAAAACTACCTGGATAAAATATTTACCATTTTACCATTGATTTTTTAATTCATTTTGAATCTATGCAACAATTTCCATCCATATTAAAGTATTAATGTAAATACTTTATTATAAAACTATTACACAATTTAAATTTTTATTAGAGAAATGTATTATTCACTATCCACAATTCCTCAAAGTCCTTTTTATGAGTGTATTCCATAAGAAATACTCTGAAATAATTATGTTTCCTAGGGGAAAACAAAAAACTATGATAATCTTATTAACCCAGGAGTTACTATGCTTATTTCTTAAACAGTTACATATTCAAATATGCTTGGTGAATAGTGATTATTCATCCCCATAGTGGTAATTTCAGCATAATCTTAAATGACTGAACTAGACAGTAAAATAGTCATGTCAATCACATAAATACTTATTCTGTTACATATAACCTTACTTATAAACTAACATAAAATGGGTCTTGGATAACAGTAATGTAAAATGTAAACAAACAGAATTAAATGTTAATCCCTTCCCTGAAAAATAAAAAAAGAAAAGCGCTCCTTGTTGTATTAAAAAAAACTGACAAAAAATGCCACAATCTATTGTATCAAAAAGGTAAGACACTGATTTTACAAACTTACATTTCTAAACATGGATAAAGAAAATCTGGAACAGCTGATTCAGACTTTATTGAGCTACAATGTGCAAAAAATCTGATAATACTTAGGTTTATTAAATTCACTGTACATAGGCTGATGCCTTCCCATACAAAAAAAAGCCTCTTGTCTTAAGTGAGATTCAAAATGGTGTTTAATTATATGAGTTTAAGATTTATTGAACAACTTTCCAAATAACAACAACAGAAGTCCATATTGTAGAAGAAAAAAAGTAAAAATAAAAATTTTATGACTATATTATGTTTTGAAATTCATCTCCACAAAAAAGCTACAGCCAGTGCCCATTTAGGTAGTAGAGAAAAATGTTGCATTCTCTATGGAAAATACCATCAAATTTGGCTGTAAGGAACTGTATATGAATTTTAAAATTATTCAGATTTAATAGATTTACCAAAAATAGAATTTACAGAGCATTTGGTACCGCTGTTTGGACTCAGGTATTTGCAAAGTGCCCTCAGAGAGAAGTGGGAAGATGAGATAAACATAAAATTGGGATACTTTCCTCCACACCACAAAACAGGCATTTGGATTTAAAAGCTTAATTTGTAATTATTGGGGGATGGGAATATTCAAGCAATTCACAACTCCAAAACATTTTCCAGGAATATGGCAAAATTCTTCAACATTTAGAAGTGTTATTAAATGAATCAAAATGCAAGAAGTGAAAACATAAATATCAAATATATTTGCAAATTTAATTTCAAAGTTTTAAATATTTTTAATGACGACTATTATTTTTAAAAAGGTGGTGCGTGTGAAACACAAATAATACTTAAAAATCTGATTTTTCCAAGAAAAGTAGCAATGCCCCCCATGAAATCAGATTATAATAGATTTCTCTGTTGAATGTGATATAAAACCATTTTGAGTAAGAGTGGATGGGAAGCATGGATTTAGACGTGAACCAAACCCTATATAATGGACTGATTAACTCATAAAAGATAGTACTTTTGATAACACTTACACTATTGATGTTGTCCTTCACTGCTTATCAGAATTCTAAGAAACAATATTTTTAGCAACATATGTTTATACTACTGCTTAACTAAATGGAAACATAAAAATATGAATTTTAAGAGAAAAAAAAACCTTTCAAAAGTTATTTAAAGGAGAAATAAGACAAAGCTTCAACCACCCATCTTTTTGAAGCTGCAGTTAGAGTAAAAGGTACTATACCTTTCAATGACACTTTTCACAACTTCATAAATCTATACTCCAATTTTCCCATAAATGAAAGATTTTTAAAAGAAAAATATTACGTTCTTTGCAAATAACTTCTATCTTCTCCTCACCCTGGCAAGCATTTGTTGTTGGTGTTGTTCATTTCAATTATCTTTTTCATGAAGTATAATATTTTTGAAATTTACAGATGTATAAATAGAAATTAAAGGGAAAACCTGCTTTTGGAATGCAACAATTCTAAATAATTTCACTAAGAAGCACCTTTTGATATGCTGGTCTGAACTTTTAACAGAGAACCTAAACAACACTTTTTCTAAGTAGAATTTTCTCCAGTTTTAATAACTTCATACATAGCAATACTGACGACATCAACCTGTGCTTTCTAGAGTTCTGTAGGTGTTCTAATAATTTAATAGTTTAGATATGGCTCATTGTCAAGGTTGGGTGGACAGAGATTTTATGATAAATCGGCTACAGAAAGCTAACTAAACTCTTAATGACTGAAAAATGGTTTGCATTTTGCTTGAGCCAAATAGATGTTTAAGCCATGTACCACCACATTCCCTGCTTAACATTCCTAAGTTTCTTTATTCTTCATAGTTTTCTAATGAACAAAATAGTTTTCCTGAGTAAGATTATAAAAAAGTTAACCCCTCTACCAAAAGTATAAAGACAAATAAAATGTAGACTCACAATACAAATTTTTTACATAGTATTACAAGTGCAGGGATATGACTGCTGCTCTCAATTATGACTGGCCCACCCTTTAAAAAGACTGCAGCAAAGGATTCAATTGTCTAAAATACTTCGCAATACAGTAATTAAATGCTTAAGCCCATAAACATATCCCTCATCTTTTGTGTTGCTAGGGAACACATGAGCAAAATCTATCATTCGCACTTCTACTTCTGCAACCTCTTGGCAACTGGTGGGAAGGTGGTAAAAAACTTTTTCCAGTTTGGAAAGTACATTTCCATTTAAACGTTCCTGTGACATGCTTTTCCACCCATTGTCTTGCTCCATATTTTCAACTTTCAATGAAGTCTGACTGTGATGCTTTTTTGAATACATTTTTCTGTGACGAGCATACATCTTAGACAAGCTTTTGCCTACTGAAGCCTCTATTTTTCCATTCATTGTAGAACTTAACACATGGAAGTTATTATTGTACTCCAGTACTTCCGTATCCGACAGCTGTCCTTTGGACAAAAACTTTTCTGCTAAAGTTCTGTCATTCGATTTTGTAGTGGTTGGCTGAGATGAACCTTCATAAACAAACAGTAATGAACTTGCGTAAAAGTTAAGCTGCTTCTGGCTTTCAAACCACTGCAGAATTTTCTCAATGTTCTGAATACTGGCAGCAATAGCATCTTTTCTTAAGCAGAAACCATTATGAAAAAACCTGGAGACTCCTATAAAAAGGAAAATTTGGGGATTATAATGAAATTATAAAATAGCTATCATTTGGGAAGTAAACGCATTATCGATACAATGTTTCAATTTTTTGCCCATCATTCCTTACAGTTAATTGAACAGATAAGAATACTAGTCATACACAGAAATTTGGATCTCAACTTAGTTTTTGGTGAAGATACTTTTATTAAAAAACAGATGACACTCATGTAAAGTGAAATACTCCTATTTAGACAGAAAATAAATTTATTACAGGTAGACTGATGGTTTAGTTCTATACCTGTATTCTGTTGAGGAATGTGATTTCAAGATTTGATGAATTGGCTATTGTGAGGAATTTTATAGTAAGGATTATTTGTTTGGTACAATCACATTCAAGAACTAATGTACCCTCATCCACTGCTGATGGCAATGTAAAATGGTACAGCCACTGTGGAAAACATTTTGGCAGTTCCTCAAAAAGCTGAACATAGAATTACCTGCTAAAACCAGCAATCCCAATTCTAGGTATATACACAGAAGAAGTGAAAGTAAGAACAAACAGAAACCTGCACACCAGTGTTCACTGCAGGACATTTCACAATAGCCAAAATGTGGAAACTGAAATGCCCATCAACAGATAAACAGATAAACAAAATGTGATATAAACACACAATGGAACACTACTCAGTCATAAAGACAAATGAAGTCTGGATCATGCCACAAGATGGATGAACCTTGAAAACATCATGCTGAGCGATACAAGTCAGTGACAAAAGGACAAACATTGTATGATCTCACTTATATGAAATAAATAAATATATAGAAACCAAAGATTATTTAGTGGTTATCAGCGGTGGGAAGGAGGAGGAAAGGGGGAGTTTTTGCTCAGGGGGCACTGTTTTATGTTAATGGTGGTAGAATGATTCAGGAAAAGATAGTGAGAATGATAGCCTAGCTTGAAGAATGTAAATCAGTGTTACTGAATTGTATGTGTAGAAATTGTTGATATGGTGCATGTTCTGTTATGAAGATTTTCACCATACACACACACAAAAAACTAACCGAAAACCTAAAATCAAATTATAACCACTTTTAACGGTGGCAACAAGCCCATCACCATGCCAAACCCTAACAACTACTAATTTCAATTTGGTCTCAATAATATTGACTAAATCAATCTTTTCACAGAAGTTAAGCTCACTTTTAGGATTCAGCACTACTCCTAGATGAGTGTGTTACTCAAACTGAGACTTTAAAATGTTTTAACTTATTAGATTATTAGGCCTCTTTTAAAATTATTTATCCCTATTTTACCACATTTGGAGATTTTGAGTTATATATAATTTGATTTCTGTTTTAAATTGCCCCTCTCCCCACTTTGGAACAGAATCTGTTTAAAAAATGTATTCAGAAAGGACCAAATTGTTAGCCTGAGAAAATACTTTAAATAAATAGCCAAACTGATCTTTATCTTGCTACTCGTTAACTATGAAGGAACCTGAGTGGCCCAAGTTGTTTGTAATCAGCTGCTAACCTAAAGGTTGGCAGTTTGAACCCACCCAGCACCTTCGCAGAAGAAAGCCCTGGCGAACTGCTTCTGTAAAGATTAAAACCAAGAAAACCCTATGGAGTAGTTCTACTGTGAAATACATGGAGTTTGCCATGAGTTGGAGACCAACTTTATAGCAGCTAAACACATTATACCACGGCAAACATCAACTGTTAAGATCACAACTGTGGATATTCGTTTTCTATATGTAAAATAAAAATTCTTCAAACTCTTTATACTATGTATGAGCTCTTCCCCATCTAAGGTAGAGCTAAATTAAACTTCTAAAAGAATATTATTTCCAGGAAATTTCTTTTTTTTAAGATATCTTTACTTTTCTACTATCTTGGCTACATATATTTTAGAAGCATACATGTTAACAGACTTTTTATTAATTAATGCCACTTGATTTTTCATTATTTAGCTCTAGAAGCTTATAATACATAGCTCAACTATAAGTGGGAAATTTCAATAAAATACATTACATACTACTACAAATATTTTCAAGTTTTTTATGTAACAAGGAATTTTAATATATTATATGATCTATACTCTTTACTTGAAAAATTATTTTAAAACAACCTCTATTTCCACTACTTGGGCTAGATGGTCGGTTCACAAGTGTTTATTATGTTTTTAAAAGTATAATAATAAAAAAGCAAAACAGGGCCATTCATGGACCCACAGTTGTGGCATATCATGAACCAAGGACTATGATTACTCTTTGAACCTAAGGTCCATTAAAAAAAAAGTTTCTATACTATAAATTAAATCATTAAAGGAGAATTAAAACTAAAACACCTTTAGAATTATTTTGATAGCAATTCAGTAACAAAGGCATTGGAATATGTTTTTGAATCCTTACCATCCTTTATAGTTTCTTTTGTTAAGCCTCGTCCATAGTGCTGGTTTTGTGTCTCATAGCTATCAGAATGAACATGATAAACCTGTCACAAAAAAAAAAAAAAAAGCATTGAATATTAAAAAACGAGCACACCTTGACCATGTAGGGTTTAGCCTAGAAATGCAAGAGTGGTTCAAGATGAGAAAATCTACTCATATAATTCATTCTAATAGATCTAAGAAGAAAAAAAAATCATACAGTCATATCAATAGATGCAAAAAAGGCATTTAAGAAATTTAACATCCACTGGCGTAGTGGTTAAGTGCTATGGCTGCAAACCAAAAGGTCAACAGTTCGAATCCATCAGACATTCCTTGGAAACTATGGGGCAGTTCTACTCTGTCCTACAGGGTCACTATGAGTTAAGAGTCGACTCAATGTCCTACAGGGTCACTATGAGTTAAGAGTCGACTCAACAGCAACAGGTTTTTTTTTTTTTAACTAATGAAAACTCTTTTTAAGAAAAATGGATGCACCATTATTCACAAAAGCAAAAAGATGGAATCAATCTAACTGACGATCAATGGTTGAATGGATAAACAAGTTGTGGTACCTACACAATGGAATACTATGCAACAATAAAGAATAATGATGAATCCATGAAACACCTCACAACATGGATGAATCTGGAGGACATTATGCTGACTGAAATATGTCGATCACAAAAGGACATACATTGTATATAAATAGTCAAGAAAAGGTTTACACACAGAAATAAACATTTTTTATAGTTACCAGGGATGGGAGGGGAAGGGAGAGAAAATCACTAACTAGAGAGTAGACAAGTATTAACTTTGGTGAAGGGAAAGGCAACACACAATATGCACAGAGTCAGCACAACATGACCAAGGCAAGGGAAGATGCTGAGAGGTACGTAAGAATAAAAGGCAACAACAGTAAATAACTATAACATACATTCCTGCAACAACAGTAGTAACAATAATTTATGAGTGGATAAATAGGTAGATACGTATAGTGAATAGGTGTGGGAGGGTGTATGGGAGTACACCTACGTGCATATATAGGTTTGGCTGCGGATATTTCTACATACATACTTGTATGTGCTGTATGTATATCCATATATATAATAGAGCACACAGGGGGCACAATCACAGAAACATCCTATACATAACCAAACACCATGCAAGACTGAGTTACTGGGCTTGAAAGCTAAGGACCATAGTCTTGGGGGACATCTAGGTCAAGTTCATAAAGACAACGTTCTACATCCTACTTTGGTGAGTACCATCTGGGGTCTTAAAAGCTTGTGAGCAGCTACCTAAGATACAACTATTGGTCTGTTTACATCTGGAGCAAAGGAGAGTGAAGAAGCCAAAGACTCAAGGAAATAATTAGCCCATAGGACTAACGGACCAAAGGAACCACAGCCTCCACTAGCCTGACCAGAAGTAGATGGCGCCCAGCTACCACTACTGACCGCTCTGACCAGGATCATCAGAAGGTCCCAGTTACAGTGGGAAAAAATGTACAACAAAATTCAAATTCACAAATAAGACCAGATTTATTGGTCAGAAAGAGACTGGAGGAACCCCTTAGACACCCTTCTAACTTGGAACTGAAGCCATTCCCGGAGATCACATTTCAGCGAAATTATAAACAGGCCTATAAACTAAACAACAGTGCCTGTGAGGATAGTGCTTCTTAAAACAATCATCTATATGAGACCAAAAGGGCAACATGTGCCCAAAAGCAAAGACGAAAAGGCAGGACGGGACAAGAAAACTGGACGAATGGAAATGGGGGAACTCAGGGGGGTAATGGAGAGAGTGCTGACACACTGCAGGGATTACAACCAACGTCACATAACAGTATGTGTACAAACTATAGAATGGGAAACTAATTTACTCTGTAAACCTTCACCTAAAACACAATAAAAAAGATGGATAGTTCCAGTATAACAAAATAGCTATCTCAACCCACCAAAAGTCACCCTCAAGTTTAATGGGAAAATAAAGAAGCAGCTCTTCTAAAATGCAAGATTCCACAAGAAGTATCCTATCAGAATGTCTTTTATCATCATTATTATCTAATATTTTTCTGGAAATACTAGTAAATGAAAATATATAAAAGAAAGAAATTACAGATATAATAATCTGGAAAGTAGGAGATAAAGTCATTATTATTTGTAGATAACAGTTGTATACTAGAAAATAATCTGAAAAACTAATACAAATAACAAGAATTTGAAATGGCAGCTGAGTACAAATTAATAACTAGAAAATAAACTTTTATACAAATAACCAGTTAGAAAGTGTAATGGCAGGAGAGACCCCATTTACAACTGCAACAACAACAAAAGAAATACAACGTAGAAATAAACTAAATGAAAGTGCAAGATCTACGAGGACATCTTCAAGACATTCGTGAGGAATGTTTTCTCACAGACACACAAATCCACGTTCTCAGAGAGGAGGACGTAACATCATGAAAGTATTCATTCTAGTTAAATTAATCCACAACTTAAATGAGATTATTAAAAAACACCAATATTTTAAGCATGAAAGCTAATTTTAAAGCTCATATAGAAAAAAAAAGTAAGAAAAGCCAGGAAAAATCTAAATAAGATTAATAAGGAGAGACTAACCTCTAACTTTACCATCTTACCACATATTAAAACATACTTTAGAATCAAATACATATGAGAATTTAGTATCTTATAATAGTATTTCAAATCAGTGAAAAAAGGGATTATTTACCAATTAAATAGTGATCTGAAAAAAAAAATTAAGTCGCCTTCATATCTTACGCGAGGATAGGATAGATTCCAAATAGATCAATGATTGAAATGCATAAAATGAAATGATGAAAGTGCCCCTAAAAACGATGGAAGAATCTTTGACTAACTGATGACTAGGAAAGGCCTTTCTAACTCAAACTCAGAAATTACTACTACATAAAATATGTTTTAAAAAGTATAGTATTTTTGCCATGCAGAAATCAAAAGACAAAATGACAAACAGAAAAAAAATATTTATAATTCGTATAATAAACAAAGGACATAGTCACTCTTATGGGAAAATGACAAAGGATATGAAAGGCTCACAGTAAAGAAATCAAATAGCCCTCAAATATACAGAAAAAATGCTCAGCTACACTCGTAAGTACAAACACCTCTCCCCAAGATACCATTTTCCACCCTATTAAAATTGGCAAATGCTCAAAAGTTTGACAACATACTGTTGGCAAGGAAACAGGTATACTCATATTTTGCAAGTTGAAGTATAGATTAGTAATCCTTTCTTATCAAGGTTTCTCAACAGCAGCACTATAATAAAAGCTGCATAATTCTTTACTGTGGGTGGTGGGGCTAGGGGGTGTCCTGAGCATTACAGGATGTTTAGCAGCATCCCTAGCCTTTACCTACTAGGTGCCAGTAGTGCTACTCCCCCAGTGTGACAACCAAAAATGTCTCCAGACATAGCCAAATGTCCCTCGGAGGGCAAAACTTTCCCTGGTTGAAAACTACTGCTCTCTATCAGGCTAACTGCTAATACCTACCAAAAATACAAATGCATATAAGCCTTTGAACCAGTAACTCCCCTTCTAGGAATTTATGCTAGTATACAAGTGGAGCGTTATTCACTTGTAACATTATCTGTAACAGCAAAAGACTGGAACAATCAAAGAACCCACTCAAGGGTACTTGTTAAATTATGGTATAACAATATTGTGCCACTATGGAAAGATCTCCATGATGTGTTAAATGGAAAAAAAGCAAGGTAAGGAACAATTTATGTTTAGTGGGTAAACCTAAATACGGGCTCTATGTTTAAAATAGGTTTTATGAAAAACAGGGAGAGAGAAAAAAGAACACATATATGTAATATTTGTATTTGTTTAAAACATCTCTGGAAGGATATACTGGGGAAAAATAACTATAAAATAGTATCCTGTTTGGAGAGAGACTTCTCATTGTATTTATCTTTATACTTTTTGGAGTTTGAACCATATAATTATGTATCATCTTCTCTTTTTTTAAAAATTATTTTAAAAGAAAAAAGTATTCCCTTAATGTTCACTTAAATCAATTCTATCGTAATGTTACTTAAGCATGAACAACAGTAGAGCTGTGTATAAATAAATCTTCAGAATATATTTATTTAGAAATTGATATTTACAACTTTCAGTCTGAAAGCTAATTACCATCTATCGCAAATGCTTCACTAGACTGGAAAAGTTCGAATACAACTATGTTCTTACACACACGTAGCCTATTTAAGACAGACAATTCATCTTGAACAAAGTGTTACTACAAACAGAGGGAGGCACTTTATAAACACCAGAAATTACATTATGTGCCAGATTACTTCTTGTAAGACCAGCATATCTAAAATTTGTTAAAAACAACCACCATCAAACTCATGTCCTCCACACATATAACTATATTTAAAAGAACATTCTCGAAACAGAAATCACCATTCTATTGCTGGGGTGTATTATCTGAGCTGAATTAAGTTCCACATATGAGAATCTAAATTTCACATATGGACTAAAGCTACCACAGTTTCAGTGACGCTCCTTTGTTGATATTCTCTCTTCCTGTTTATCTACTTTACTAGCTAACTCTGGAATGGAAAAAGATCTGAGAGTTTCTCCAGTGTCTACACACCACCCAGAATTAATAGCAAAGACATTTGTAAATCAAAAGTTATACTCCCACTTGAAAAACACGCAAATACGGAGCTAAAAAGGTGTCTTTTTTTTTTTTTTTTAATGGGAAGGAAAACTGGGAGGCATGAGTGGGAGGATAGAAAGCCAAGCAAGAACAAGCCCCAGCTCTTCCTAGATCAATCTTCACCATATGACTTGCTTATTTTATAACGTGAACTTACAATGTTAGGAGCAAATTCAAACATCTTCAGCAAAACACATCTCATATTACGATCAATTTATGGGAAAGAGCAATCTGAAGTGTTACTGCCACCCACTATTATAAAGGAAAAAGAAATATAAAGAAAGAGACTGATTTTTAGACAATGTGATTGATAGAGAGAGAAGTGTCTTTTCCCCCAAATGATTAGG